GATTGATCCTTTGATCATTGTGTAGTGTCCATCTTTGTCTGTTTTCACAGCCTTTATTTGAAAGTCTATTTTATCTGATATGAGTATTGTGGCTCCTGCTTTATTTTGGTCTCCGTTTGTGTGGAATATTTTTTTCCAGCCCTTCACTTTTAGTCTGTATGTGTCCCTTGTTTTGAGGTGGGTCTCTTGTAGACAGCATATATATGGGTCTTGCTTTTGTATCCATTCAGCCAGCCTTTGTCTTTTGGTTGGGGCATTCAACCCATTTACATTTAAGGTAATTATTGATAGGTATGGTCCCGTTGCCATTTATTTTGTTGTTTGGGGTTCACGTTTATACCACCTTTCTGTGTTTCCTGTCTAGAGAAGATCCTTTAGCATTTGTTGAAGAGCTGGTTTGGTGGTGCTGAATTCTCTCAGCTTTTGCCTGTCTGTAAAGCTTTTGAGTTCTCCTTCATATCTGAATGAGATCCTTGCTGGGTAGAGTAATCTAGGTTGTAGGTTATTCTCCTTCATTACTCTAAGTATGTCCTGCCATTCCCTTCTGGCCTGAAGGGTTTCTGTTGATAGATCAGCTGTTATCCTTATGGGAATCCCTTTGTGTGTTGTTGTTTCTCCCTTGCTGCTTTTAATATTTGTTCTTTGTGTTTGATCTTTGTTAATTTGATTAATATGTGTCTTGGGGTGTTTCGCCTTGGGTTTATCCTGTTTGGGACTCTCTGGGTTTCTTGGACTTGGGTGGCTATTTCCTTCCCCATTTTAGGGAAGTTTTCAGCTATTATCTCCTCGAGTAACTTCTCATGGCCTTTCTTTTTGTCTTCTTCTTCTGGGACTCCTATGATTCGAATGTTGGGGCATTTCACATTGTCCCAGAGGTCCCTGAGGTTGTCCTCATTTCTTTTGATTCTTTTTTCTTTTTTCCTCTCTGCTTCATTTATTTCCACCATTTTATCTTCTAACTCACTTATCCTATCTTCTGTCTCTGTTATTCTACTCATGGTTCCCTCCAGAGTGTTTTTGATCTCATTTATTTCATTATTAATTTTTAATTGACTTTTTTTAATTTCTTCTAGGTCCTTGTTAAACATTTCTTGCATCCTCTCAATCTTTGTCTCCAGCTATTTATTTGTAACTCCATTTTGTTTTCAAGATTTTGGATCATTTTTATTATCATTATTCTAAATTCTTTTTCAGGTAGATTCCCTATTTCCTCCTCTTTTGTTTGATTTGGTGGACTTTTTTCATGTTCCTTTACCTGTTGGGTATTTCTCTGCCTTTTCATCTTGTTTAGATTGCTGTGTCTGGAGTGGGCTTTCTGTATTCTTGTGGTCTGTGGTTCCTTTTTATTGTGGATGTTTCACCCAGTGGGTGGGGTTGGACGATTGGTTTGTCAAGGTTTCCTGGTTAGGGAAGCTTGTGTCAGTGTTCTGGTGCATAGACTTGGATTTCTTCTCTCTGGAGTGCAATGGAGTGTCCAGTAATGAGTTTTGCGATGGGTCTATGTGTTAGGTGTGACTTTGGACAGCCTGTAAGTTGACACTCAGGTCTATGTTCCTGCATTGCTAAAGAATTTGCGTGGTATGTCTTGTACTGGAGCTTATTGGCTCTTGGGTAGTGGTTGGTTTTGGTGTAGGTATGGAGGCTTTTGGATGGTCTCTTATTCCTTAATGTTCCGTGTGGTCAGGAGTTTTCTGGTTTTCTCAGGTTTTGGGCTAAGTCTCCTGCCTCTGGATTTCAGTTTTATTCTTCCAATAGTCTCAAGACTTCTCCAACTATACAGCACTGATAATAAAACTTCTAGGTTAATGGTGAAAAGATTCTCCACTGTGAGAGACAACCAGAAAGGTTCACAGAGTTACATAAAGAATAGGAGAGGGAGGAAGGAGATAGAGGTGAGCAGGAGGAGAAAAAGGGGACTCAAGAGGAGAGAGACAGATCTATGCAGTTATCTGTTCCCAAAGTGTTCTCCGTAGCCCAGACACCCACAAAGATTCACAGGATTGGATTGGGAAGAGAAGGGGAAAGGAGGAAATAGAGGTGTTCTGAGGTAGAAAATAGAGTCAAAAGTGGGAGAGAGTAATCACCACACTCCTGAATAGAAATGGGAACTGAATATTGGATTCTTCAATGTCCAAAATTTATATCACATACTGAAAAACAAAGATTAAAAATCTAGTGTAGAGGTTAGACTCTTTGAAATACAATATTTAAAAACAAAGACGAAAACACACAAAAAAATTTAGAAATGTATATGAAGTTCAGTTTAAAAATAGGGTTTTTCTCTCTGTGTCTTTTTTTTTCTTTTTGGCAAGGTTATAGTGAAATGAAAATGAAAATTAAGGACTAATAGAGGAGTATTAGAGGACTTTAAAAGGAAATAGGAGAGAAAAACAAGAAAAAGAAAAAAAAAGAAAAAAAAATTTTTTCCCTAATTAAAAAAATAATAAAAATATATGAAAATGAAAGTTGAGGAGTAATGGGGGAGTAATAGCGAATTTTAAAAGAAAATAAAGAGAAAAAATAAAAAATAAAAAAAGGAAAGAAAAAAAAATTTTTTTTAATTAAAAAAAAATACATATATATCTAGGAATTTCTCTGGAGTTGTTGTGGTCAGTGTAGGTTCAGTTCAATTTCAGATAGCTCCTCTTTCCTGCTTACATTTCTGGATATCTATAGGCCCCTTGCGGTGTAGTTGGTGTTACCTTCAGGGATTTTAATCTGTTGCACCCGTCCTTTCTGAAGCGGTTCCCTTTGTTTATTTGGCTTCTGTTTGCCGTCTCTTTGGTGTCTAATTTCCGCCCTGACACAGGCGGGCGGAGGTGATCTCTTATTTAGGTTCGCTAGTTCAGTTCAGTCCTGCTACGGGGAGGGCGGGGCGCTGCAGACAGATACCGCTCTGTGTGGATAGCACTCACCGTGTTCCGGTCACACTGTGTTTGCCCCGCTCACGGGTGTCAGTGCTTTCCCCGTCTACACTGCTCAGGCTCCCGACTGCTCTATATGGAGCGGGCCCTGCGTTGAGTGCGGTTCCAGTTTTTGGGTACTCCACAAAAGCGCGGATTCGGTTGTGCCTGTGTTTTGTGCCTTTCCCGGCCTGAGCGGTTCAGGCAGCCAGAGGCTTGGGCACACTCTCCCCGGGTGCAGCACGCCTTTTCCCTCCTCGGCGAGCGGCCCAGGCAGCCAGAGGCTTGGGCGCACTTTCCCTGGGTGCGGCGCGCCTTTTCCCTCCGCGGCGAGCGGCCGAGGCAGCCAGAGGCTTGGGCGCAATCTCCCCGGGTGCGGCGCGCCTTTTCCCTCCGCGGCGAGCGGCCCAGGCAGCCAGAGGCTTGGGCGCAATCTCCCCGGGTACGGCGTGCTTTTTCCCTCCGCGGCCCCAGCGCGCGCCGCCAGTCGGGTCTCAGGAAGTCTTTAGATAGGACCCGGGGGCCTGTTTGCAGTGTGGGAGGGGGTGGCTTCTCAGGGGCTGAGTTTGCCCTTTTCCCCTCCCCCCTGCCTCCAACCTCCAGCGGGGATGGGCGGCTCTTCTCTGGAGTTTCTCAGTCCCTTTGTTTTGCGAACCGCAGGCAGTGTGTTCGGGCCGGTTAATTTTGACCCTTGCTATCCCACAGTTTAAAAAAGCTCCCTCCGATTGCTCTCAGGGTCTTCGGGCTGGTCCTTACCCTAAGCAATGCCGCCCGCTCCTCTCCGTTCCGCCCCCGCTTGTTGCTGGCGGGTGCGGGCGTCTGGGGTACTTTTCTGCTGGGAGTTGCTTTTAGGCATGTAATCTGTGGGCCTTATTTAATTTTTCCTCCCAGTTAGATTGCTGAAAACTTCCCCCACTCCCGCCAGTGCGAGGGTTTTCTGGTGATTGGAAACTTCCTCTATTAAGACTCCCTTCCCGGGACGGGTCTCCATCCGTAGCTCTTTTGTCTCCCTTTTTATCTTTTATATTTTGTCCTACCTCCCTTCGAAGACAATGGGCTGCTTTTCTGGGCACCTGATGTCCTCTGCTAGCGATCAGAAGTTGTTTTGTGAAATTTGCTCAGCGTTCAAATGTTCTTTCGATGAATTTGTAGGGGAGAAAGTGGTCTCCCCGTCCTATTCCTCTGCCATCTTGGCTCCTCCCTTCCTCAAGCTATGTTTATATCTTCCTTTTTCTACAGACAATTGAGATAGCTTAATGACTTTCAAAAAACTGTATATTAAGAGAATTTTAGGCTGTGTTCAGTGGTGCGCTGGTAAATGTCTAATAACTGATTCTTAGGGTTAGAAGATGCCCTGGTTTGTAGTTTTACCCTTCTTTGTCTTCTGAATACATCTACTATGGCTGATTTCAAGCTTCCAATGTGGTCACTGAGTGTAGACTTGGGAAGGGAAGCTCTGCTCTGGGAAGCCACTGTGAGCTGGATGTGATGTTTTTGCTATCGAAGTGCTTAATCATAAATGCCCATCAGGATATTGTACTCTAACTGGTCAACAAAGTGAGGGATGACAGCTAAAATGCCAAACAAATCAACTTTAAAATGAAGTTTATGTAGGGAGATACTAATTTAGCTCATAATGTGGGTCGGGAAAAATCCTCTGGAGAAGGGATAGGCTATCCACTCCAGTATTCTTGGACTTCCCTTGTGGCTCAGCTGGTAAAGAATCTGCCTATAATGCAGGAGGCCTGGGCTTGATCCCTGGGTTGGGAAGATCCCCTGGAGAAGGGAAAGGCTACCCACTCCAGTATTCTGGCCTGGAGAATTTCATGGACTATACTGTCCATGGGGTCACAAAGAGTTGGACACGACTGAGCAACTTTCACTCACTCACTCATATAGTGTTTACCAAATAATCTCATGTATATGTGTGTGTATATATGCCAGATATCATGAAATGTGTTTGTATCAGTTTGTAACTTGCATAGTTTATATATGCAAAATTTTAAACATACAAGGCATTTGTTTTAAAACCATAAAAGTAAAAGTTTAAATATTTTGTATTTGTGGTATTTTGGAATGTCTTATCTTTACTTTCAGAGGGATATGGAACGTCCCATACATGGCTAATGTGTACTTAATTAAAGGAAAGACCCTCCGATCAGAGATGAATGAAAGGAACTATTTTGTCCGTGATAAACTGGATCCTGATATGGCTCTTTGCCGAAATGCTAGAGAAATGGTAGGGAATATGATGATGGCTTGCTTGAATGTCTCTGTAAGATGGCTTGCTTTACCAGTTGATGTGTCATTTGTTTTGATGACCTTTTCTTTCTAATTTGTAAGTACTAGCCAATTTTTTGTTTCTGTACTGAAATATCAGAAGCAATGATGGAGAATAACTTGCCTGTGCAACACCTGCAGAAACAACTGGAAAAAAGTTTGGCTTAGGCTAACTCACAGGCAACAATAAGATATTCAATTGTAAGCATAGACTGGTTACAAATCAACTTTGAATTTTTAATAATTTGTCTTTAATTTGAAATTCTATACTGACCTAATTAAACTTAATAGATGAAGCCTGGATGAAATGATGATTTACATATTTAAGAAAAACACACTTTTGTCCTAAAGTCAGTATCCAGTATTTTTCTGTCATTATTCATCCCATACTTTCAAAAAATAGGTCCCTTACCACTAAACTGGGAAAAGAATTAAAATATGTAGTCTGTTTATGTGAAAAATTAATCATACATTGCTAGTCTAAAATATATTTTCATTATAAAACTTGAAATGATTGTGGAAAATTGTTTTCAAAGTGTATAAGTGTGTCTTAAAACATACTTATATGGTTTTATGTTTTAGAAGTGATTGGGTTATTTTATTCAAATTTGTATAAGCAAATGTGTTTATGGAAAAATCAGGAAAGTTGGCAAGTACTTTTTTCTAGTTTGATAAGGCATGTGTTACTTGACATATGTTTGTTTTTCCTACAAACTTTTGTCCATTGTTACACTGAATGTACTCAGTACTTGTGATTGTAATTTGTGCTCATGTTTGGCTATTTGACTCAACAGCGCACCCTGGAATGGCCTCTCTTACACTTTTTTTTTTTTTTCCTTTTTCTTAATTTTGTATCTAATGAAAACTCTTACTAAGGAATGAGCTTGGATTTATGTTTGACCAACAGAAAAATAAAAAAAGGGCTGGAGTTGTTTCTTTATGTGCACTGTAAGCTTTGCTTGTTCTGCATGTTGTCTGTGAAGGACATTTCAGAATGTCAGCTTTTTCTCAAGGGCTGCTATTTTTATTTACCTAAGAATACCTGAGAGAGTGGATGTGCAGGTCAACTTACCCAATCCTTCTCTTCATTTTAGACTTTACAAAGGGAAAAAGACTCCCCTACTCCGGAAACATTCCAAATGCTCAGCCCCCCAAAGGTGTTATTTTATTTACTTTTATTTTTGTTTTTTTATTTAAAATACTAGATACTGTATATTGCCTAAAACCAAAGTTTCTTTAAGAGTCTTATTTTCATTTAGCTTGGTGTGAACTGTTGTTATTCACTGGTTCTGAATTTGTACATGTGAGTGTGTGTTTTGTGTGTTGGGGATAGGCATGTGTGATATTCAGCTGTTAGTTCTTCAGACTGATTTGCATTTTATGGGTGACAGATGGAAAAGTTAAATATAAATCACTTTCACTAGTTTCTCCAGTTTTTGTTTTTGTTTTTTTTTTAAGGCGAGAAGAGGTAGGAGTATGTATAAAGTACATCCTGATTAAAATGAGATTTGATTACTCTTCACTAATTTTCTTTTTATTAATAACCAACTCTTTTTACCATTAAAACAGGTACAAAAAGAAACAACCTTACCTTAATGGTGTTTGCCATATTTATTAGGTTTGGGGCAAGGACAAGAAACTGATTTAGTTGCCTCTTAATGCAGGAGTAAATTCTGTGTTCGATCTTTAAACATCAGAACATAAAAGTATGAAATAGACTGATAAAATATTGACATTTGAATTTTTGTTTAAAAATGTGATATCTTCTTTGAAAGGAAAAGAAGCCAAAAGAGGTACAATTAATTGCACTTTGGCGTCTCAAAAATATTTCTGCTTTCAAACAGGAATTCTTTTCCCCTGATGTCTACATCTAGGACCAATGAGAAAGGGACAAAAACAGTCCTTCTTCCTCTTCTTTATTTCAGTTGAGTGTCAGTGCTATCAATTAGTTTTGTGTGGTGTCTGAATTCATAATTATCAAATTCTACTTTTATTTTAAATTATGCATGTTTTATATGAAAAATAAAAATGCATGTTCCTGAATAAGAGATAAAAGTTGAGATTAATATCTTTTGTAAAATTTTTCATGTGGTTAAACTTATTTTCTTATATTTTCCTCCAATATTATTAATACTATTATTTTTTTGGTATATAGGGTGTTTTTATGTACATTTCTAATAGACATGAATTTGGAAGACTATTATCAACTGCTAATTACAATATTTCCCATTTTAACAATGACCTCTGGCAGATTTTTGAAAATCCTGTGGTATGTATTTCATGCTCAGCTTCATTTATTACTTATTTTTTGTAACTCTAAGTGGATCTAAATCAATTAGGTTAATAATACAGAAATACAGCAAGAGACTTTAAAGAAGTATTTTTAATTATCTAATCACAGGCCTAATTTATTGTATTTCTTGGCTAAGAACTTTCTTTTTAAAGATATATTAAGTTTGGATAATGGAATTATCAGTTTCTTTGATTTCTCCTAATATTTCTGTTATTTGTATTTCAAAACACCAATAAATTTTCAATCTGAATTTCAGAAGAAAATGTTTACGAATAGCTCATGTATGACAATATTACATTTTGACTTTCAGAAAGAAAATGCAAGAAGTTAGTTTGAGAAAATGAATTTTAAAATAGTTTTTAAATAAAAATTCTGGGAGTGTACTCTAAAGATAGCTAGAGAAAACTGCAAAGTGGAATCAGCATATAGAGAAAGTCTTAAGTTGAGGAAACTGTCCAAAATTATTTCTTTTCTATAATTTTTGAATCATGCAGGAATTAATTCATTTTTGTCTTAATCGGTTTTCTTTAGGCAAGATGGCACATTTATCCAAGGGAAAATACTCACTAAAATCTATTTGTGGTTTTTTCCCTTGCTATTAGTCAAGTTTTAAATTACGAAGACTCAACCACCTGTTGAGAATTGTCTTTTACTTTGTAGAAGTGTTGACTTTGGGGAATAGTAGATTTAATGGTCTCTAAAACTCTGTTGTTGGAAAAAGAATATCTTTTGACTTTTTGTGTGTCTTAAAAGTACTGTTTCACTTTAGCAGCGTATCTCCATCTTTCACAGGAGTAGAATTGAAAATGTGCTCTTTTTTAAAATGATGAGGATGGAATTACCTATTTTACTTTGGCACTAGAACTCTTGGTATTTTGAGAGATACAACTATTTGATTTCTTGGCTAATACTAGCTTCCTGAAAAAAAATCCCAAGTTATATCCTGAAGTGTAGATATTTGTGTGAGATTTAAAATCTTTGGAGAGTATGCAATGAATATATCAGAAATTGGAACTGGTTTTCTTTCCATGGCTTTGTTCTAGTTTTGGTAAATTAGCTTGACTGATATGTCTCATGAAGGATATCCCATAGCAAAGTATTTAATATTACCCCATTATCAGAACTACTAAGAAATTAATAAAGTCAATTTGTTCAATGATATTTGAAAACAGTCTAAAATAAAAAGTTCGTATTAATGCTTTAATGTAAAATCTTAGGGTCTTGTTTCTTTAACTTCAAAAAATCTATAATGATGCCAAAAAAGAATACTTAAAAATCTTTAAAGATTCTGAAATGTTATGTATGATTATTTACTTTTAATTTTCCCCCCATATTTTAGAATCAGAGAACCAATAAATATTAAAGGGGATAATGAGTAATTTGATCCTTATACATACTATACATACTTTACACACTATGTATAAATTAATTTTGTTAAAGAATTTGAAGATAGTTTTGGTTCTTCCAGATCTAAAAATATCTGAGTTACATATAAGCAGAGAAATGTAAAACTAAGAATGGCAAATAAATTATCAGGACCCTTTTTAAATGTGGCCTCAAAAGATATATTTCAGACAAATATTTTTTGAAACATATTTTGATTGAAATTATTTTGAGTCCTTACCTCAGTTTTTCCCTAGTTGCTTACTATTTGTACTTTGCAAAGAGAACACTAAGAATTTTGTTAAACAGTCTAAATATATTTAATAAAATATCATTGTGGATATTGAATCTTATTTTAAGATATACCCTTTAAATATTGGGTTTTTAAGTAAAACACTTAACCCAGGAAAAAGATTCCTCAGTTGATATTGACAAAAATTGTTATATCTTAGTGTGAGGTTGGTATGTCAGTGATTAGGTTAAGAGAAGATTCAGGTGCATGAGTTAGTATGAAGAAGATCTATTTTTCAATACATGGACTTAAACCTTAATTTCAGTTAACTGAAAGTTATGATAATGTTAGTAACCCCATTGAACATTCTTTGATACTAATCTAAAGCTGAAGTGAAAATACACATTTTGAATATATTTTAAAAAATCAAAATTATTTTAGAGTAATTCACTATAAAAGTATATAAGCAAGGCCAAGTTGATTAATTTAATAATTTTTACTAATGTTTGTTGCTAGAGTTATGTTCCCTATCTTTCACTTTTAAAACACACATATTTGCCTACAGCTATGTATAACTGTCCTGGAGGAGGATATGGCAGCCCACTGCATTATTCTTACCTGGAGAATCCCCATGGACAGAGGAGCCTGATGGGCTACCGTTGGACATGACTGAGGGACTAAGCACACACAACTCATATATATCCATAGAATATAGCATACAAATATAGAGACTATAAGATTACTCAGAATTTAAAATAGAATTATAAAACTGCATAAATAAAAACTTTCACAGAATGTTTTCAACATACAAAAAAATCAGGCAAAGTTCAGAAAGCATAAACTCTGGTTTCTGAAAGTTTCTATTTTGTCTACTACACATAGTCATTTATAAATTGCTTGAGCAGTTTCTAAAGTGCATATACTTTATATTTTCCTTTAAAGTATTCGTGGAAAGGTTTTTGCTTTAATCTGAGCAATTGATTTTTTTTTTTTTCCATAGGACTGGAAGGAAAAGTATATAAACCGAGATTACTCAAAGATTTTCACTGAAAATATAGTTGAACAGGTTTGTATTAGAAATTACTATGATATATAGAGCATTTTTGTTATACTTTCTAGTAGGGAATATTATTAACATAATACTCTCTAGCAGAGGGTGTTGTGATAGTAGAGAAACTGTCCTTTAGGTAAAGTTCATGTGACTTAATTACCAATTTTACAGCCTTAAAGGTCAGATAGCTTAACATGTAGAAAAATGAAAATTAACAATAATATTAAGGTCATGCTATTTTTTTTTAGCATACTCCCAATGTCATAACCATTTCAGAAATAAATTTTTGACAGATCTCTGGTGTAAGCCTCTTTTAGTGAAAGTTCATCTTTGAAGAATTGGACTCCAAACATCACTTCTCAAAGAGGTTTCTTTCAAAATGAACTCTGCTTTAGATTAATGTTCCAAATTATTGTTAATACCTTATTTCAGAGAATGTTAAGGGTCTTTAATTCTGAGATTCTGTTATTTTGTTCACTGTGAGAAAGGAAAAAAAATACTGCCAATTAAACTATGACGCACATTGAAAGAGCTATGTTAGATTTACTGAGGCAAAGGTGTTGTATGTCATAGGGCACTGTATACATAATAACATTTCATTTCAATGACAAATCATAATGTATCATTTAAAAAGATGTATCAAAGAGCAGGTCAACAAATGTAACACCAACTAGATGTATGTATGCATTTGCACACATACAGATGCATACATTCACACATGTTGAGAACAAAATCAATGTCTGACCAGGTGTACATTCCCTGTGTCATTAGCAACTATATCACAATGGCTGCCTAGCCAAACAATGAGTCTAAGAACAGGTCTTGATTTCATAAAGGTTAAAATGCAAAAAAAAAAAGTCTTAGAAATTGTTTTTTAAAAATCCATTGTTTGTAACAGTAGTGTCAGTATTGTTGGGCAAACTTCTTAAAAAGACATCTAAGTGAGATAAATACTGAATATTACTTTTGAAATGCCATTTGTTAGTAAAAAGACACAAAATGTTACTCTCTTAATGATGGTGTCATGTTTTATACGTAGCCTTGTCCAGATGTTTTTTGGTTTCCTATATTTTCTGAAAAAGCCTGTGATGAATTGGTGGAAGAAATGGAGCATTATGGCCAGTGGTCTGGAGGGAAGCATCATGTAAGTTATCATTTTACATTAAGAACTAAAATGTGTATGTAGGGCAAGGAGGAGTATAGGTATTTAGAGAAAGTGAAGGAGGTTTGTACTTTTTGTCTTACATCTCTGAGTCCTAGACCTCAATGAAGGGGCTGCCCAAGGCTGTCAAGAGAACTATGATTTTCATCTAATTCTGCCGATCATTTTTTAACATTTAATCTATCTGGGCCTCAATTTTATCTCCAATTACACTGGGTGATCCTTCGGGGCCTGTGTCCCCTGGCTGGGGATGGTAAGGTCATATAGGCCTATTGTGTGATATTGCTCTTCTCTAAGGCCATTTTTTTTTTTTTTAAATTCTCTGTGTTTTCACAGAGAGCTATAGTGAAAATACCAAAACAAAGTTTATCTGGTTGACTGCCAAAGCTATTTTTTTTGTGTAAACATAGGAAGGAGGAATCTGTTTGAATGCCTTTGGTGTAATACAGTATTGCATTTACATTCAAAGACTTGACAGGAGGCATTACTGTTGGTGCTTCAATGTATTTCTTTTCCTCTGAGAACCCACAGATACCAGGTCCTTTATAGTACCAAGGAATTTTAGTGGAATACTCTGAGTATTAATGCCTCTGCTCAAATATATACCCACCTAGTCAGCTGATCAGGAAGGCAGAAGTTTGAAGTATGAGGAAGAACTTGAAGTTGGCAGGTTGTAGGAAAATGAAAAGCAATCATGGAAGGAATTTGGGGGCCACAAGATAGAAGTGAGAAGATTGGCAGAAAAAGTTTATTTTCAGTGACAGGTAGTAGTCCAAGGTGCAGACAAATAAAATCTATACCCATCAAGCAGCTAAGACTTCCTGAAAGGTCAAAAAACTCATTTTTAAGGGGACATGGAAAGGCTTTGGTGATCAATTGTATTTATTTTCTTATTAGACCTCACATATCTGTTAAATAAATAGGAAAGCAGTCTACTTACTCTGTAATACTTTGCTTCATCACTGATACATTTGCAAAGCCATGTTATCTAAGTTATTTTGATAGTTGTGCAATAAAGCAGATGGTACACCATAATTGAACTGTTATTTTTATTGTCTATTATGATCTTGTGGTTGAAAAAAATTCCAAGACAAAGTGAGTGTGAATTGCACATGGACCACACTTTATAATGTCATGAATGCTCTTTCCAGGATAGCCGTATATCTGGTGGCTATGAAAATGTCCCAACCGATGATATCCACATGAAGCAAATTGGCCTGGAAAATGTATGGCTTCATTTTATCCGGGAGTTTATTGCGCCTGTCACACTGAAAGTCTTTGCAGGCTATTATACTAAGGTAGTTATCTCCCCACTACTGCTACCTACTCCTATCAGTTTTTACACAAATGTGCTACTTTATGTTTTTATTGATAAGTGAATCCATTAGTTTACTTTGGTTTTTTTAGGGATTTGCACTCTTGAATTTTGTAGTAAAATACTCCCCTGAAAGACAGCGCTCCCTTCGCCCTCATCATGATGCTTCTACATTTACCATCAACATTGCACTCAATAATGTGGGAGAAGATTTTCAGGTTATTATGGTTTTTCTATTTTATATTTTTTCAAAACAAATATGTCATTATGAAATGGCCTTTGCCTTATCTTTTTTTTTTTTTTAGATTCTGCTTAGATAGCATCCTTTGAATTTTATCACTCATTAAAATTGAAATATAATAAGTTGATACATTTATTTCTCTATCCTTTTAGGGAGGTGGATGCAAATTTCTAAGGTACAATTGCTCTATTGAGTCACCAAGGAAAGGCTGGAGTTTCATGCATCCAGGGAGACTCACCCATCTGCATGAAGGACTTCCTGTTAAAAACGGAACAAGATACATCGCTGTGTCATTTATAGATCCCTAAGTTATTTTCTTTTCATTGAATTGAGTTTTCTTTTGGAATGGATGACTGGCATGAACATGCCTTTGAAGTTGTCCTTGAGAAGATGAGAGGAATATTTAAATAACTTCCACAAAACAACTTCACTTTAGGCCAAACATTTGAAAAACTTTTCCTAAAAAAATTGTTTGATATTTCTAAATGTCTGCTCTGAGCCTTAAAACACAGATTGAAGAAGAGAAAGGAAAAAAAATGTAAAAGCAATCATTTATTTCTATGCCTTATTGTCTCTGAGAATAATGACAGTTTTCTGAATTTGTGTTTTAGTTGATTCAGGTACAGATGTACAAGTGACAAATGAGACTAATAATATTTTCTTATTAAAAGAGTGGGAAGAGTTTTGTTTATCGACATGTAGACAAAATGGATATAAATGAAAATTTCAAGTTTTGAAATGCAGGAAAACTGGAGTTCTAACTGAATTTGTATGCAACTAATTGCATAAGTACTTTCTTTGGCCACCTATATTGGGACGTTTTTTGGTGGTTATTGAAGGAATATGAGGAACAATATATAATACAGTGTTCAAGAAACTTAGCACAGAATACAACTGAAGTGCATATCCAGTGGAAAACATTTTTGTTTAGATTGTTAGATTGTTTTTTACATTTGCCTTAGAAATCAAGCCTTATGGTCCTTCAGATAAATTTTCCAAGGTGGATTAGATTAAGTAGATGTTAGATTTAGGAAAGCTTTCAAGTCTTTTGATTTCTTCAAAAGTACATCAAGCATCAACTTAAGATCATCAAGTGCCCTTAAGTCAAGACAGGGTCATTTTTAATTCTAGAAAATGAGGAAAAGGAAAATTTCATTGAGATTTAGTAGTAACACATGATTTTTTTAAAATAAAACTCTAAGTACTTGAATTTTGTATCAGGAAAATAAAGTTGGTGAGCCTTTGTTCTTCCCTTTTACCTTCTGTCTTTCTCCTTATTCTTTTTTTCAGGAGGGTGATTCACTTTTTTGTCTTCACAGCATAGTCTCCATTTTATCCTTCTTGCTGTTTTTTATTACTTTTCTTTTATCTCACTTTCAAAAAATTCCCCGGCACAAACAATTTTGTGACTTGATTTTTTCACCATTATTCTGAGTGAGGTTTAAATATTCTCATTGTAGCTACTGTTTTTAATTTAAAGGTTAAACTTGAAAACAAAGTTTTAAGTCATGGTGCCAAATTTCATTTTTCTAACACTGTGTGTTAGAAAATTATGAAAAATAAAATAATTTAAAATGTTTCTGTTCTCTTTATTATTGGTCATTTATGTTTAGAAGAGAATGATGGTGGAGTGGACTGAAAGAATATCTAGATAGAATAAGCTGTGATTTTATTTTGCTTGGTATGTTTACTGATATCCAAACTAAATGAACTCTATTTATTGAATTTCCAATTGAATTATAGTATCTTCCATTTCAGACTTACTAGGGAGTTCATCTGATTTATTTCACAAGTGAGAAAATAGACAAAACATTTGTTTATTATGTATTTATTTATTCAGTGGTGTTTTTCAAGTCCCTACTGTGGTCCAGGCACTGGCCCAGTCACTAAAAATGTGGTGAACAAGATGTTATAATTACTGAGAGATGGATTTAGGAGATAAAGAGTTGTAATTCTACCTTGTTTCTGCTCTTTAGTGGCACTTCATATCCAATAATTTCTACTATCCATCAGTTTGGTAGAATACATTTTATTAATTATTTGTGAATTATACTATTGTACTTCAAGGATGCTCTTCTAAATATGTACTGCTATGTCATGGATACCAACCATTTAGAACAGACTTTGGTTATAAAAAATAGTTCTACTAGTGTAAGCCATCTTAATGTCCCTTGTGGTACACTTGACATGAAAGACATAAGTAGATCCTAATTCTTTACATTTGTGGGTGATGATTTATAGTAACTATTTTAATCTCATGCCATGTTTTCAGAAATTGAATGAAGGCAACCAACTGAGCATATTTTCTATGTTACCCCTCATCCCAGGCTTCTTGGAATGATATGAAGTGTACTCTTAAAAAGAACAAGTCATGATTAGTGAAAGTGTGACAAATGCCCATAGGTAGATCAAAAATTTGGAAGATGGAAAACAGGCAGGATTAGATGGATAGAGGAAGCTGTAACCTGACACATGTTCAGCTTTGGCAACCAATAATCTGTTCTCTGTTTCTGTGAGTTCAGTTTTTTTTTTTGTTGTTGTTTAATTCCATATACAAGTGAGAACACACTTATATGTCTTTGTCTGATTTACTTCACTTACTACAATGCTCTTGAGCCTCATCCATGTGGTCACAAATGGCAATATTCTTTTTCATGGTTGAATTATATTCCTCCTCTTCCAAATGTGTGCACGTGTGTGTGTTTACACATCATATTTTCCATTTTCTTTAACCATTCATCGATTAATAGACACTTTAGGTTGTTTCTGTATCTTGGCTGTTGTAAGTAATGCTTCAGTGAACATGGGAGTGCAAACAACTTTTGGGGGTAATGATTTTGTTTCCTTTGGATATATTCTCAGAAGTGAAAGATCATATCATTGCAATTCTTAATTTTTTGAGGAACTAAAATCTTTTACTATGAAAATATATTTGTGTACTAATTTTTAATTTAAAGAAAGATAAAAACAGTAGAAAGAAGCAATCCTATTTGTAATTTAATTTGAGTAAAGGAAGTGTATTAATGACAATAGTAAGTATTGGTGACTGTGGGTACATGTATATGAGTGTGTGTGTTGTTTGTATGTATACATATTTTACTGAAGGGCTTTAAATGCTAATGTTGTCTAGTTCTTAATGTGCATAGGAATCAATGTGAATATTTTCCCTGAGTATGGATACTTTTCCAATATGTTAATTTTGTTCCCTTTGCTTTATTTTTGAAAAATACTAGCACTTTACCTTTATTGGTAACTTACCTAACAGATCAAGCATCTTTCTAGAGAATAAACATGGGAAACAATTAACATATAAATTGAGTGATTCATGCTAATGACAGGATCTCTTTGCATATTCCTTCATTCCTGTTTTCCTGTCTGTCAAATATCTTTCTTAATTTCATTGCTTGCTAAGCCCTAAAGCCTATCTTGTATGACGTTTTTGGGGCCTGCCATTCATTGGAGTAGAGTGTCCATACAACAGATCCCTTCAAGTTGTAGGAAAGTCAAACAAAATTATCAGTTAAGAGTCAATTTCAGTAGACACCTATAAACTGGGTGTTTTGGAAAATTGAAGTCTTCAAGACTTCATGAAAGCAGACTTTGTTAAGCAACATTGTTTATCTGTGATGTTTCAGAATAGCAAGCTCCAGATTTCTTTTAGTATGAGTCTTTGTATAAAAAGCCATTGGAGAGAAACAGGGGGAAATACATAAAGCTCTTCAATGAAAGCAATGAATTTTGGGTTACATTTAAAGAGAAATACACTAAGAAATAAGTAATGAAAGAGTAGAAAACGGTACACGTAAGCATGCTTTAAAAATGCAAAGTACTATATTGCTAAGTTATTCTAGTACAAAGAATCAGAAAATTGGAAAGATGGATATATATATACTAGAGATATGTGGACTTCATAAATTTTAAATCATCCTGCGGTTTTAATTTTAAAGATTGTTTTTAATATTTTTGTTTTATTCTTAATAGAATAAAATAAATTAGAAAATATTCATCTGGAAAAGTGAGTTTTTTGCTGGTTTTTGAGGTGGTATTTATTTTTTTTGGTAAATCAAGCAACAATGATTATTTTTACCATGCTATTCTATTTACTGAAAATGTTTTAAAAATCTGATTAATTAAACTATTTTGAAAATTAGAAAAGAATTTCTGTCTACTTAACAATACAAAACAAGTTAACAACTTAAAGAACAGTTTTAACAAAATAAATGGAAAACATGGTGCATGCTATCAGTAATTTAAGGAAAGTGTTGTTCCTTTCAAGTTATCTTCATCCCAAAGTAAATATTAGATTGCAAAAGAGAATTAAGGGATGTAGAGGAGAAAAAAAATCATGTAGATTTTTAATAAGTAGTGAACTTCTCTGTGCTTAATTATAAAGTAATTTTATTTATTTATTGAAAGGAGCTCAGCTGGGTGCTCTGTGATAACCTATAGGGATGTGCTGAGGGGGATGGGAGGGAGGCTATAGAGGGAGGGGATATATGTATACATATAGCTGATTCACATTGTTGTACAGCAGAAACTAACATAGCATAAAATAATTTTTAAAAATAGCTCTAAAAGACATTTTTCTTAACACTGGTTTAAGTTGAGTAACTTTTCCTTTAGGAACGTAGTCTGCAATGATAGAAAGAGTCCTTAAGGAAATCACATCATGGTATAAAATTCAGCATCTACTTAGGAGAATTTTATATTTGATAGAGCTTCCCTGGTGGCTCAGACAGTAAATAATCCACCTTCAATGCGGAAGATCTGGGTTCGATCCCTGGGTTGGGGAGATCCCCTGGAGGAGGGCATGGCAACCCACTCCAGTATTCTTGCCTGGAGAATCACCATGGACAGAGGAGCCTGGCAAGCTACAGTCCATCGGGTTGCAGAGTTGGACATGATTGAGTGGCTAAGCACACAGCACAACTTCCAGGTGAGAAATGGACAAATTAAAGCATAACTTTCTTCTACTGAGCATAAATGATTATATTATTGAAAATGCATATTTTAAAAATGAGATTATTAAATTTTGTATTATTTTCAGTTGTGTTGTATATAGATATACATTTTACAAATCATGCTAAATTATGACATCAGAGCCCCACCTTGTGGCCAATATAGAAAACTAATAGAGTCTGAGCTTTAAGCCAAAAAAGCAAAAGCTTTGCATTTTTTTTTCAAGTTCATGCTTTCATGATGTACTCTGCATATAAGTTAAATAAGCAGGATGACAATATACAGCCTTGATGTACTCCTTTTCCTATTTGGAACCAGTCTGTTGTTCTATGTCCAGTTTTAACTGTTG